TTATTACATACTTTGACTCTTATATATATTATTTTCCTTGGGATATAAAATTAACTTTAATTTCGATTTAATTTATGCTTTATCTTTTTCTATAATAATTTTAAGAATTAGAAAAAAATAAATAGTTATAACTTACTTTGGTGGAACTGAGCTAGAGAACGTAGCCTAAAATTTATATTTTGTAGCTACTACACTACGTTACACTTTATGCACTTCAAGTGAAATAGATGAATAATTCTGAATCTAAATTAAAAAAGAAAAAAATAAAAGGAAAATTTAGCTAAAGTACAAATATCTTGATGAAATCTAATGAAATATTGATATTTGTATCTGTTTATTTGAGTTGTACTATATTGTGCTTTTTCCATTTGAAATTAAGTAAATATTAAACGTTAGAGAAAGAAAAGAGAAGAAATAAAAAATATAAATTTTGTTCGGCCTCGAAAAATAAATCGATTGTCGGATTTTATCTAGTGAGAAACGCATTATCAACTGTTTTTATCAGTCAAAACTTATATCTCGATCGCAGTCGCGATAATTTCATGCATAATAACCTTAGAATAATGATCGAATTCGAGAAATTAAATCAGAGTACGTGTTAATGTGAAATTATTCCAATTGGAATTGTTTATAATTAGTTCTCAGATTTTTATTGTGTTTTCTATAGGAGAAATAAAATAATTCCGATTGGAATTCATTTCGAACAATTTTATAATACGTTCCCAGAGACGAGACACTATCAGGGCTGTTATTAGAGAACCGATTTTAACCGATATAGAAATCGGGGAGTTTCAATGTCAACCGGACCGGGAACATTAAGGAAACGTCACGGCATTAGCGCCGTGAAAGAGGACGCGTCAGCGCAGCCACGATGCAATCAATGAGTGCATATTGATCTCAACCTTTCGCCGGTGTGTCCGACACCCGCAGCGGCGAATCGCCACAAACGTGGCGGCGCGTATCGCGTTGGAATCTTGGCTCTGCAGGCTCGATGGCGCGCGAACAATTCAAAGCCGAAAGCTCGAAGTCGTGCGAGAGTGGAACAAAAATGAATAAGAACGTTGCGCGAGAGCGTGAGATGATCTTTCCTCCCTTCTTTTCTTTTTCTTTGACTTCCGCGAAGACGCTGATGAAAATTTCCGACATACGTGGGATCTCACACCGGTATTTATAACCAATAATTCTTATATTTGACACTGCGTCTTAAGATGTCATAATAAACTAATCAAAGAATTGTATTATATATTATATATATATATAT